GACCTTATCGGTTAACAATGTGGGTGAGTGGATATCACCCATACTACTCCCTTCAAGCGAAACCACTTCCTTGCGTGACAGTCGAAACATCAATTGGGTAAAACATTGATGGACCTTATAACGGGGGCTTACACTTCCCCCTGAGCAGAACAATAACATTCACAACGTGTTGCTTTGGCTTCGTGGGCTCTCTCTTCAATGGATTCTTACTTATCTAATATAAACCTAAAACCTCATCGCAACAACTTTCGAAAAGATCAACTCACTGGAAATGTAATTACCCTATTATATATCGAATAGATGACATGTTTGGATTACGTAATACGCCATTGTTATGGTCGCACATTTCACAAGGTGGTGAACAAAGCTTTTGGAATTGTCCTCGGTTAATATTTTGAAAGTATTTGCGATCGTTTTCATAGTTTTATTAACGAAATCTCCATGAACACGTTGTTAATTACAATGAAAACTTTATATTCACATGCCTTTGCTGTTATTATCTTGATTCTTTTTTATTTCAATAATTTACGATTGGTGGAATACATGAAGAGTAGAAGAAACATATGAAGTAACTCCAATTCGGTACGTATATGAAGCTACGCTAAATGATCCTCGGTTAGAGTCATTTATAAGAAAAACCCAACTCCAAAATGGGCAAAGGGAAAACGTACGAATCGTTAGTGTTAATGTATTATCATCCTTCGTTCAAAAAGAAAGAGGAAAAGACGAATGAAGTAGGCAAGCAATCACAAAAATGGTAGCGAGTAATTGATCTGTCGCATGCTCCGTACTAATTCATCATGGCGGCGAAAATGTATCGCCCAGCTTATGATTTCCCTGGAGATGAAGTATTACTTTGCCTAGAGACGCCCAATCCATGCTTTGGCTATTGTTCTCTCCGGTCAATCTGGCGCGATGTGTTTACCCTCCCTTGTGTTGTTTTTCTTGGATCACATGATCATGTACCCTCTTCAACACTAACCGCTAGGCGTACACAACCATGTCATGCCAAAAGAAGAAAAATAACATAGCTTGCCGGGAGGGATTTTGAAAATGTCACAACTCTTTGGATACTCCACTACTTCCGCTATCGTTATCAGAAAGAATTCAATGGCGAAGGAAATACTCATCATAACATCCCTTACGTCGCAGTGATGGTTGTAACGTTTTTCCATACACGAACCAAACAATAACACTAACAAGAGGAAAACGTGATTGAAATGCACCCCTCACGTTCAACATTGCAATCCAAATTAGTGCTTATTTTGGGAAATTATTAAAGTCTTATATATTTGTTTTGAATGGATAGTTCATAGTACCAAGTCTGTTTACACGATTTACTAATGTTGTGCCTCTGATTTCTAATTTTTTCTCCACAGTAAAATGGTATCGCTCTGACTGCGTCATTAAAAATATTTGACGAGAATGAAGAACGTTGCAACATAAATGTCACAAACATCAAATCAGTAGGCAGCCCCTTTGATGATTCTATATTCGAAATAATTATTTGCATAATAAACAAGAATCAAGTGTAAAAAGTTTGTTTTTAAATAGATTTTATGTAGCAATTACCTTATATGAACACTCATCCCATTCCTCAACCCACAATAAAACAGTGGTCAACCAGTCAATTGTAGTAGAACGTGATTTCGTTAGCGAAAGACTGGTACAATACAAATTAATCTATTATATTACCCCCATAATTATAATAATTGATCACACACACACACACACACACACAAGGACACACGCACGCACACACACGCGCGCACACAAATATAAACAAGTTCATGAGCGCAAAGATGTTCACTTTCGTTAGCACGGCGATGACCTCTTTAACAAAAAATGTATAGACAATAGGATAATTATTCATAAATATTAAAATATACATGTACTTTTTCCTATAACTGCAAACAACAGGGGGATTAATAATTCATATTGTAATCTACTACCAGATTTCTATTAAGTTGATTAATCCTGCTATCTGTCCTTGAATGATAGATATGTTATGTTATGGAGCAAAATCTATATTGGTACATGAAAGCAATACTTCTCCGAGCTTAATGGCTACTTTGGAAATGCAAATGTCACTGCTTCCCTAGTTAACATATGTTTTAATTCGAGTGGCTTTGTATCCAGTGAAAAAGGTGCCATAAAGTCTGCACAGTTTAATCCGTTAAAAATGAGATGCACTTCAAATGACGCACTTTCATCCTTATTGTGTTTTACATTGTGTAATGTGATGGTGGTGGTTATTTTACCTGACAGCTAAGAAAGCACAGTAGCATTTTGAAGGAAGAAACTATTGACTAAGGATTGTAGAAAGGCCTTTCTTTTTCTTAATCTCTTCGGATCGCTGTTCTTTCAAGATCTTGACGTCATGAATGAATGAAAACAATTCGTCATAACGCACAGACTAAACAAAAATTAAGGGAGAACGAATGTAATGCTGACACCTCTGTCAAGAATCCTGTTAAAGGGGAAACATTTATTTAATTCAAAATTAAACACAGCTCTCAACTTAAAAAGGATGGATGAAATTCGAGATAACCGCATGTTAGTATTATACTGTATATAGGCCCTATACAGCAGCTGACAAGCCTTTTAATAAAGAAAGCAGGCCACTTTATTGCGTCATACATGGTTTGCCAATTGTTTATTATTCTCACCATTTGATTTAAGATTCAATATTCTCGATTTATACAATTTATTTCGGCAGGTGACAGGTAGCACTGATTGCATTAAAATGTGAGATATCTTATCTTTATTCACGGGTCTTGTCCATGACGGAAGTCCTCTCTTTGTATTTGTGTTAATCAAACTATAATTATATTATTTTTGAAAATACTACTTAGTACAGCATATTCGAACTAATGTTCAAAGTGATCAAATTTAAGTAGCGATCCCATATGATGTGTTCCTTGTATTTGTTTACCTTGTATGTCCATCCTTATTTTGTAGATGTATAATTTTGTGTACTATTTTCCGCATTTAACTGTCCTGTGTATTCAAGCAGTGTAGCCTAGGATTGAACGTTTCGTTTTACAATACATGCTTTTTGTTGCTTTATGTAAAAAATAAAGAATGTGACAATTCATATATGTATCAGGAAACTCTCTTTGGTAAACTAACTGAATATTAAATAAGCGTGATATATATAAATACAATTAACAACTTAGTTATTCATACCTTTCCAAGTTTGCGTAATTTTTTAAGCAAGTGCAAAATTGATTTGTCCCAATTCATGTTTCTTGATAATGTTGCATATTAAAGCTTACATCAACGAGTCGACCTTTCATTCTGGTGCTTCGAAAAACACAAAAAACACCAAATGTATTAAGGATGTAAATAATTCAATTGTTAACTGTATGTCAGACATTCCAGGCACTTTGCATGAAATGTAGGATTCATTTTGGTTACTGATAAAAAGTTGATTGCACCCCTGTCCGTACTATGTGGGCCATATTATCGAGACATCAAAGTCCAGATGTGAGGTAATGCAAATAATTCATAGATTTTCGTGGGCTTCCTCGCTACCCGATACCCAGTTATTTGGACGAAATTCACCACTGTCTTCTCGACGCATGCTTATTCCTCTCTGCCTTTATTCATTCAAGATACTCCGAGACCGGCCATATGCATCCTAATTGATTTCGCGTATGCTTCGGGCGTGGATTCAAGAAATAGATCCCATAATTGATGTTTTTGTTATTCGACTATCATCGCATTACCTTTTTACTACATTATCTGTGGTGAGAAATAGGAGTTTTGTAGGTAATTTTGTTTATGCTTCCTTACAAATATGGAAGTATCCAAACTAAAAGGGTGAGTGTTTGTTAGCTTTTAAAAAGATGAAACTGGCTTACAAGAGCGCCCTCCATTTATTCTTCGAAATTCCTATAATTCTATCTGCCCCTTGGGATGATATACGCTAGTGGATCAGAGATATGCCATAATGCACTTAAAGAGTAAAACAAAGACCGTTTAAGCCATAAGTTCTTTGACATTCAAATGGCGACAATCTCCTCCAACATTTCAAAGATGTACCTGCATATATTATAAAATTCAATTATGATCATAATTTCTTGTGATAAAGGTGTTATTACTAGATGTGGTTCGTAATGTCATTTTTTTCAAACCGAACAAAGCTGACAAAGCTGTTGGCATATTGTCAATGTTTGGTTTCTGTCAATGAGACTCGATTAGATCTATACTACTTAAGAGTTTCCCATGTGTGTGTAAACGTCGTGTGCCCGGCAGAAAGGCGTCGGCAGCCAGAGGCGTAGGAACCAATGTCGTCAAGTTGCAGACAAGGTTTTTTGAATATCAATATTGAAAGCCATCATAGCGAGCTAAAAAAAATGTACAAAAGAAGATATGAATAATAATAAATGACCATTTTAATCGCTGCTCAAAATGAGCCAATGCTTGCCAAAATGTTGTCATTTCAAAATTCTAGGAGGAAGGGGGGGGGGGATCCAACCACCTTAGCTTCTCCAATCCATCTCATACGCCTGCTTATTGCAAAGAACCTCCTGTTAGCGTGTAAAGAACTTAACGCTTAAATTGAAAATTACACGTTTTACCTCTCCCATCAGGAATATCCTTTGCATATAGCGCATCTAGCTGAGCCCTCTCCTCCAACAGTGGAAGGTTCTTTGACATGATACCTTGTTACTAAGGGTGTTCATTCATCCAATACATGTCTCGTCGCTGGCAAGTATAGTATACTGCTCTGTATACTTGTATATTGCGCATTAATACAATTACATTTTGATTGTGCTTTATAATTCATACCATCCATATCAAATTGTAAACCACTTTATGAATAATTGAAACGGTACAGCACAAAAGTAGACAAAACGTCAATATAAATCTACCAAAGAAACAACACAACACTCATCTCGTTAGAAACGTGCCAAGAGCAACAACTGCTGACACCTTTCTGCGGCATTTGCCGAAACATGACAGACAATTATAAACGCAATTGTATTACATACCTCGTGGTCATTGTGAATTGATGTGAGTTATTATCTACTACCCGGGTAAACTGCTGTCACTGTTTTGTCCGGCAGGCAAAGTCACTCTCTTTAATCTAATTTTGCGTCGCAGAAATCGGGTTTTCCTGTCTTTCTTCGATCCCCGTCCAAAAAAAGTCAGTCGGATTGTTTTAGCGGCGTATCTCCGTATCGTGTCACTACGATGTCTCAACACACGTATCGCTTATATACACATGTCAATTGCGGGCAGCACGGCTCCAATTTGAGTCCCAAAAAGCACAGAAAAAACTTCTTGACACACGCATGCGCAAAGGGTTCTAATCTTATGTAGACCAATCACGAGCGCTTCTGCAAATGGCGTTTTGCGATTGGTGCATACACAAGTCGTCATCACTCATTTACGTACTCTTTGACATAGAAGCTCGCTTTAGCTGAGAGATGCTGAAAATACGTCGGGTTTGGTTCACTAATTTTCAAAAGAAGATTACCAGTAATGTGTTATATTTCAAAGCAATTTTCATTTCAAATTAAGTGGCATAAACCTTCGCCAGAAACTGTAAAAAGACACCATCGTTTGACTATTTTGATACCAAAAAAAAGAGAGATAATTATGTCTTTGGTTGAATCATCTGTTTCCCCAATTCTCACATAATTATAGACATCTCCTGTGACTGAAATCATTTGGGGGAATGCATGCTTGTTATGGGACATCAGCGTTAGAATTCCACAAAAATAACCAGGGATAAAAGTCGATTGATAGCCTTCATTACCAATATCTAGCACAAAAAATGCACCTAGCAAGCAAGCAAGCATCTCGACAGTACTTGATCTATCTAATTGTCCAGGTCTATATGCAATAAACGAAACAAATGAGTGTTTTACTGTTGATAGTTATGAGGAATAGACATGGCTTTGCTACTTTCCCACAAGAGTACAATAATTAAGGCAATTGCAGTCTTAAAGGTGCACATCATATTTTGACAAGAGATTGTTATATTATTTTTGTACAGCATTTGTTACCTCAAAAGTCTTAGTAAGTATAGCACTTGCAATTATTTTCTTTTCCGTATCAAGGATCATCGAGCAAAGCACTTTCTTTTAAACGGTAAAACATGTTCCCTTCATCTAAAACATAGAGTTCTTGTAGTAATTCAACATGACTCATAAAACTCTTTTTTTTTAAAAGACCATGGAGCTTTTAATAAATATGTATCTTGGTTGGACGAGGTTTTTATTTGCAAAACTAGTACGTCCAGCTCTGATCACGTACATAATTATCAGCAGATGACCCTATAATTACGGATTGTTCCCGGGTAAGGGTTCTGCGTTACAATTGCTCCATATCAGAATTTCTTATACTAAACGAATCTCTAACCTGAATCCTGGACACAACGTTATATCTTATGCTTAACTCTAACCCTAAACTTCATCCAAAACTCAATCTCAAACCTAACCCTCATGACTTAATTTGGACGAAATAAAGCCCGGAGCAATTTTTGCAGGAGCAAAATAATGTCGGATCATTCAGTTTAGATCACATCACAGGGGGATAGGCAAAACTCAATACAGCTCTTAACATTCATTAGATGAAGATGTCGTCATTAAAAGACGGTTGCATGTGTAGATCCATTGGTGTATAGGTAAAAGGGGGCCTGCCATTTCGGGTGGCGCTAAAAAGGCAAAAGGATGAGAATATAATAACAATAATAATTTTGTTAATCCATGAGAGCCTCATCATGCAGCTTCAAACTGTTCTTTGTGAGGGTCCTGCGTGGAGTTTGCTTAAATTGAGAATAGTTCTTTATTATGCAAGATCAATCATCAGTACGGGCATCAGTAAGGGCATTAGCACTTCTTCCTCGGAGCATTAAATGAAATGCACACGTTTGTTACTTTTTGAGGGGTAACAATTTTTTTTTTTTAATTTTCATTTTTTATGAATGTAGGACAAGTTTAATTTAGGCCGGGAGAGCTTTTTTGTCTTTTCGAAAAATCTCAACGTTTAGTGTTGATTGTTGGGTTTGTCATGTTAACAAATTATGCTTGTCATGCCTGGTACCCATGCCTGGTATAGGTTAACCCTTTCCCTTTCTCTTTCTCTCTCTCTGTACCTATATGTCTCCCTGTCTCTAGCTCTGTCTCTCCTTCGCCCCTTTCTCTCTGTCTCTCTGTCTCTCTCTCTCGACCTCTTTCTCTCTAGGTTTTTCTCCCCCTTCCCCCCTCTCTCTCTCTCTCTTTCTCTCTTTTCCTTTCTCTTCCTCTCTCTTCCTCTGTCTTCCTCTGTCTTTCTTTCTCTCTAAATGGATGAATGTAGTGCGAATTACTTTACAATCTCATGATAAAAAACAGTAAAATCGTACATTGAGCATAACCTCTGCACTGACTAACGAAAGACTTCATTATTCAGAATGACAATGAATCTTTATCTTTTAAACGATCGATCGAATTTCATTTGCAGTGTATTGATGCTGAATATTTTACAATTCAATGTTAATCCTAAAGTGCAGCCTGTTAACTTTGAAATTTGTATTTCAATTAAATTGTCGTGTATTAAAGTGGTAGATTAAAAAAACGAGGTGTTGAGAAGGGAAAAAGTGTTGGAGTGGATGGACAATGTCAACATCTCCTTAGGGAGAAGGATGAGAATAAGGATTGAGGATGAAAGAAAATAGAGAGGGAAAAGTGATTAAGTGGGTATGGGGGGGGGGGAGAAAAAAATTCCCATAAAAACATTTCAATACTACAGAAATACTAGAAAATGTTTAGAGACTTTGGGCTCTGATAATATTAGATTATGTTTGCATACTTCCTGAAGTAGTACATTCCAGAAAACATTAATGTTCACAGATTTATTTGAACATAAAATAACAAAACAAAAGATGAAAATAAAAAGTACACCTTGGGCAACAATTAGTATGATTGCTAATGCCAATATTGCCCTAATGGAATTTCGCACCATAGTAAAACCGGAAAAAGAAGAAAGGAAAATGCGAGTTTTTATCAAATTAGGTATGATCGCCTCGTCGCTCTGTAATTTTTACAAGTAGGCCTACATGAATATACCGAGAAATATACTCTGCTTTTGGCGAAACATCACATCCATTTCTTGGAGGTTGTATTGGTTGTTATTTGTCGCTTATTATAATTGATAAGTAATATATTCATGGTTTTACAAATCTGATTGATATCTCTCTTTCTAAATGTAAATGATAAAAGTGAAAAAAGATAATTCATAATAAGAAAGACTCTCACACTCTTATCCCCCTTTCTCTTTCTCTCTCGCTCTCTCTCTCTCTCTCTCTCTCTCTCTCTTTCTCTCTCTCTCTATTTCTCCCTCCCTATATCTAGCTCTGTCTTTCCCTCGACCCTTTCTCTCTGTCTTTCTCTGTCTCTCTCTCGCCCCCTTTCTCTCTCTGTATTTCTCCCCATCCTTCTTCCTCTTTCTCTCTCGCCTCCCCTCTCTCTCTCTCTCTCTCTCTCTCTCTCTCTCTTTTTTCTCTCTCCTCTCTCTTGGTCTGAATGGGTGAATGTAGCGCGAATTAGTTTACAATCCCAAGATTAAAAAACAGTCAAACTGTACATTGAGCATAAACTCTGCGCTGACTAACAAAAGAATTGTAGAGAATGACAATGAATCTGGATCTCTCAAACGATCAAACGAATTTCATGTGCAGTGTATTGATGCTGAATATTTTACAATTTAAAGTTAATCCTAAAGTGCTGCCTGGTAACTTTGACATTTGTATTTTCAATGAAATTGTCATGTATTATGTGGTAGACCTTCCATTAGGCGAGATATGGCGCCAAAGTTTTTGTCAACGTTCATGGTCATGGAATTGATGGAGGATTAGTGTACTCACATGACGTTTTCCATCAATTAGTTTAAAAATGTTGATCAAGGTAGATGTAATTACTTTTGTAGTTAAAGCCGACCAAGGATAACATTTCAATGTCTTTTTACACCAGCAATTGAACGTTTGGAATCGCTAGGTGAGTGGAACTGTACATATGTGTGCGCGCGTGTGTGTGTATGTGTAAGTGTGTGTGGGATGTATGTGAGATATTGTGTGGGTAGGTGTGAGCTAGACCCCCTTCTTAAAATTGATGTGTTACCGTCCAACGCCATATTGATTGAAGTTTTTCTATTTTTCATGCCAGCGGAAAATGAAAGGCCGATTACAATACTCAGAAGATAAAATCGTGCCGGCGTTATGGAATAGATAAATTGTGTACCGGACGATTGGCCTAATTTGTCTATTTCATGAAAGTTTTAGAGCCATGATTGAGATCCTATTGTGAGGTACCAAGCCACCGCCCCAAGCTAGCCAATTATCTTGATTGCCTGTGTAGTGGCATACTAAACTGGCGTATCCAGGAGATGATTCTAGAGGGGAGGGGTCCACCTGGGGCGTAATGCACGAATGCTGCCGTAAACGCTGAGAACCCATAGTTAATTGTAATCATGTACAATGTTGCCCATAAGGTTTGAATAATTTTTCTTGCCTCTTTTAATGATTTTTTTTCTTCTAAATTTGGCTTTTTCTTGGTATATTAGCTTCATATCTTTCCAAAAAGATAATTGATATATCTCTATGACTCTGTAGATTGATCATTAAAGTTCTGAGAAGATTAAGTCAGATTATCTGAATAAATTATGTGTCTCCATTCTCTCCTCCTCCTCCTCCTCCTCCTCCTCCTCCTCCTCTTCCTCCTCCTCCTCCTTCTCCTCCTCCTCCTCTTCTTCCTCCTCCTCCCAGAGGGTTTGATCCAAATTGATTGTTCGTAGGTGTATGTCCAATATTTTTTCAAAGTCAATTTCATATTGTTAGATTAAATATACATGCCCCCCCCCCCCATAGCTGGAGTCTTATTCCAAATAAAAGATCTGTATCTACTTGGGATTTATATAGCCAAACATCTTGGGTTGCCAGTTTCTGATTAGAAGTACATTCTTTAATGTAATCTATTTTTAAACCAGTCACTAGTAATTATGATATTACATTCAGGGTTTATATACAGTGCGTCCCAGAAAAAACGAAACCGAGAATTATCGATGTTTTATCATAACTTAATCACATTTATAATTAATAAATGACACATATTTGGGAAGCTTAGATCCTCCTCTTTCATTTGATGCAACTCATTATGATGCATATTTCACGCATGATTAAAATTGATTTTAATCACTCATGCGTGAAATATGCATTATTATGAGTTGCATCAAATGAAA